AAAAAAAAAAACCTGTGGAACCAGACAGGACCTTTGCAGCTGCTCCTGCACGGGCACAGGGAGGTTTAGAAACCACACAACAATGCTGGGTTTTCTTACCTGGGGAGCTGAGCCATTGCTGCTGTTTCAGGATGGGCTCTGAGGATTCAGGGGGGTTATGAGAGCTGGGTCTGAGCCGTGGCTGTGGCAGGGAGGCTCTCATGGTGTTGTTGTAAAGGTGGGACAGTTTTTCCATCTCTGGATGTGCAGGGCAGAGATCCAGAGCCCAGCTCAGAGCCTGGAGATCSCACACATCCCAAAGCCTGGCATCCCTGACGGGCACAGGCAAAGGAAAGCAGCGTGGCCGAGGTCTGGGGGTGAGTCTGATGCTGCTGGAGAAAGATTCCAGAGCCCCAGGTGTGACCTTGGCCGTGTCCCTGCMCATCCCAGGGTTGTGTTCAGTGTTCAGTGGCCACAGGTGGAACATTTCAAACCTGTGTTCACCCTCCTGCTCCCCAGGATGTCCCAAAGCCCCAAATTCCAGGGTCCCTGAGCACTGCAGGGTGAAGCTTTGCCTTTGATTTACTGAAACCACGATCCGGCCCTTGCACTGGGCTCCCCCAGCTCCTGTAGGGTGACAAACGGGGATCCCACTGAACATCTGCACACTCTGATCATTGCCTGGATCTCTCCATCCCTCCTTTATTTCCATCCTGGCCCTCATGGCTCATTCCCTGCTGTCCCTGATGCCCAGCAGGGTTTGTTTGATGCCTCCTCGCCCCTCTGTGCCAGCTCTCGGGGTGCGTTTGCAGAGGCAGAGCTGCCCCCAGTGTGGGGAGGTGCAGCGAGACACAAATCCCAGAGATCTGCCCAAGGTGATGCCGTGACTCATCCTGGAGCCAGGAATAGCACGGGAGCAGGGCCCCTGCACCTGCTGCTGCCTGAGCCTCACCGGCATGGCTGCGGGCCTGGGGCACAGCTGGATTGGCAGCAGGGGCACAGGGGGCACAACCCAGCACATCTGGATTGCCAGCAGGGGCTTAGGGCACAGCCCCAGTACATCTGG